GGGGGGGGTTCTCTTGGGGAAGGGTGGGGGTCAAGCATCTTTGTGGATCAAAGCCAAGGTCAGGGCAGCTGCAGTGGCCCATGTTCAAGGTGAATGGAGGCCTCAGATGGCTCTTCATTAGCAGGCTGCTCCGTCCCTGCTGGACCCCATCAGCCAACCGCCACTGAGCCTCATCATCCTCTCCCTCCCTTCCTCTTCCTCTGTCCACAGGGACGAGTCCTGAAAACACCCGTCCACTGGGATCCATATTGTGGCGTGTGTAACCCCGCCCAGCCCACACGGACACGCACACATGCTCACATAGGCGTTTGTGCATAAGCAGGTACAACACACACTGACACTATTCACCCCCACACACTGTTCCCCCAAAAGAGCCAATGTTGACCTCTGAACTGGAGTCTCTCTGCGGAGAGCAGCATCCTCCTGACCATCCAGCCTCCGTCTTTGTGTTGCTCAATCCCCCTGCTGACAAAAGGCCTCACGCCACTACTGGCCTCTGACACACACTCAACATCAAACTGAACACACACATCCTTTGAACACACACAGCCAGCAGGGAAGTCAATGGCTTCTAAAAGTAAAGCTCTCAGTTTATATTCAATGTTTTCTTGCCATTTGTTCGCCACCAGCACATTGTGCGTATACTGGAGGCCAAAGAAAACATATGAATGTATTTGTTTTCAGTCTTCTATTCCCCTATTTCGCGTGTTGCAACATCTAATGTAACTGCCTTCAACTGCCGTTAAACAGAAATGCATGAATCATCAGCATACATTTGATTTCTTTATAAAAACAAATGTACCAACATTTACTAACGGACTAAATCATGATTCCTTAGTTTAAACGTTATTAGGTCAACCTATATAAAAAAAAGCGTGAATACCAAGCAATGACATTCAAAGAGTCTTTTAGGTACCCCAAAAGTGCTGACCACCATATGTTTTGAACCAAAGATTCTTTCAAGGTTCACCATGTGGTCAATCTCAGTAAAGGTTATGTGGGGGTCTCGGTCAGGAGAAGACAAACCCAGTGACCGCAGCCTGACAGTCCATCTGGAGTTTGCCAAGGGGAAGTGCATGGATTCTGAGAGCATGGTGGGACAAAAGATGATTCGGTCTGCCAAGTGAACACCAGTGCTGTGTCCAGTGGGGACCAGATAATGAATACTATACCCACAGTGAACTACACTGGTGGCAGCTTCATGCTGTAGGGATGGTTGTCAGCAGCAGAGACTCGTTAAGACTGGAGTGGGTTCATTTTGACTAGCAATGTCAAAATCCAA